GCGAGATTGTAAATTTCCCTTACTTATACCTTATAGTAGCTCATTATTTCTCCTTTTCACTTTAGTTCTAAATTTCATACATTGTATTATAGAATGATTTTTTTTTCTAATATTTTTCTTAAATTACAATGCCTATAAGCTCTGAAAGTTGAAAATAGTTAAAATAACCTTTGTATTCTCAAACTTAAGTCCCCTCAGAAAAAACTGAATTATAAAATAGGTATTTCAAGTAGGGTAACATTCCTCTGTGTAAACTCCCAGCTAAAAGTAATTTTTCTCTTCTTCTCCCAACCCAGGGATCCCCATAGTTATCATTTTCGATGATTTTTTTTTTCTTTTTTTCTTTTTTTTCTTTTTTTTTTCTTTTACATTAATCTGAAATTTTACACCACTTTCTTTGTATACCACCAATTCTTGGTAACTAAAATCATCAACCATGGGTAAATCAGAAAAAAAGCATGGTAAAGGTCGTTTAGATCATTACTACCGTCTCGCTAAAGAAAAGGGTTACCGTGCCCGTTCCTCGTTCAAAATTGTCCAAATTAACCAAAAGTTTGGTCACTTTTTAGAAAAGTCAAAGGTCGTTATCGATTTGTGTGCCGCTCCCGGTTCTTGGTGTCAAGTTGCCTCCCAACTTTGTCCCGTTAGCTCGCTTATTATTGGTGTGGATTTGGCTGCTATCAAACCCCTTCCTAATGTCATCACTTTTGTTAGTGATATTACTACCGAGCACTGTCGTGCTCAACTCCGTCAACATATGAAGACTTGGAAGGCAGACACAGTTATGCATGATGGTGCTCCTAACGTCGGTATGGCTTGGGCTCAAGATGCTTTCACCCAATCTGAATTAGTATTGCAATCCTTAAAGTTAGCCGTTGAATTCTTAACTCAAGGTGGTACTTTTGTTACCAAGGTTTTCCGTTCCAAAGATTATAACAACCTTATGTGGGTTTTTCAACAATTCTTCGATAAAGTTGAAGCTACTAAGCCCCCATCTTCCAGAAACGTTTCCGCCGAAATTTTCGTCGTTTGCAGAGGTTTCAAGGCCCCCAAGAAGATTGATCCTAGATTACTCGATCCCAAATCTGTTTTCGAAGAATTAGCAGATGAAACACCAAATTATGAAGATAAAGTATTCAACCCAGAAAAGAAGAAAAGAAAGAGAGATGGTTACACTGAAGGCGATTACACTTTATACCATACTGTTACTGCCATGGAATTCATCAAGACTGATGACCCTATCTCAATTTTAGGTAGTAAAAATAAGATCATTTTCGACGAAAAGGTTGAAACTGAACTGAAGCCTGTCAAGAAATTGCCTCAGACTACTGATGAAATCTTGGAATGTTTCCTCGATTTGAAGGTCTTGGGTAAGAAAGATTTCAGACATATTCTTAAGTGGAGACTTGCCGCTAGGGAGCTTCTTAAAGTTACTGGCGCTGATGATGAAGATGATAAGGATGAAGTTGAAGTTGAACCGATTGATGAAGAAGAACAAATTGAAAAGGAATTAAGCTCTTTACAAGAAAAGGAAAAGGCTAAGAAGAAGCGTGAAAAGAGAAGAGCTAACGAAAGAAAGCAAAAGGAAATTGAGCGTATGCAAATGAATATGACAACACCCATGGATATTGGTATCGATGCCGGTCAGCAAGAGCAATCACTTTTCAACCTGAAGGTTGCTGAAAGAAGTGGTAAGCTTAATTCTCTTACCAAGGGTAAGAAGGCCATGGTCTTCGATAACGATCGTAATTATCAAGGTGGTGATATTGTTCTTGGTGGTACAGCCGGTGAACTTGATAATGAAGGTGAAAGTGATTATGACACTGATAACGCTGATGAAGATCTTGAAGCTGAACTTGATAATATGTACAACGCTTACAAGGAAAGAAGAAACGAAAGGGATGCCGAGTTTAAGGCCAAGAAGCTTCGTGAAGCTAATGATAATGAGTGGTATGGTATTACTGATACTAACCATGAAGGAAGTGATTATGATAATGAAGAATATATCAATGGTGATGACAATGATGTATCAAGCGATGATGAAGATGATGATGAAAGTATCAATAAGTTAATCTCCACTCTTGAAAAGAAGACTAAAGAAGGTCATCTGAGTAGAAAGGCTGCTGTTTTCTTTAATGATCCTATCTTTGATGGGCTCGATGATACGGTTATTGAATCCAAGCCAAAGATTGAGGAAATTGTTTCCGAGGCCGAAGAGGAAGTCGAAGAGAAAACCCATAACGGATTCGAATCATCTGATGAAGAGGATGAAAGCAATAAAGACTTTGAGGTTGTTCCTAATGACGGCAATAGCTGGGATTCTGAAGATGAAGACAATAAGGGTAGTAACATTGATATTGTTACCGCTGAAGCTATGACTTTAGCTCACTCTATTGCCCTTAAGCAAAAGAGTAAGCATGATATTATTGATGAAGGCTATAATAGAACCTCTTTCCGTGATAGAGATGGTTTACCCGATTGGTTTATTGAGGATGAAGATAGACATAGCAAGTTCTCTAAGCCCATTACTAAGGAAGCTGTTGAAACCATCAAGGCTAAGTTGAAGGCTTTCAACGATAGACCTATCAAGAAGGTTGCCGAAGCACAAGCTAGAAAGAAGTACAAGGCTTCTCAAAGATTAGAAAAGCTGAAGAAGAAGTCCGACCTTATTAATGAAGATGATGGTAGATCCGAGAAGGAGAAGGCATCTGATATTCAAAAGCTGCTGAGAAAGGCCACCAAGAAGAAGGAAAGACCTAAGGTGACTGTTGTTGCTGCCCGGGGTTTCAACCGTGGTGTCTCCGGCCGTCCTAAGGGTGTGAAGGGTAGATATAAGATGGTTGATGGTACCATGAAGAAGGAACAAAGATCGCTAAAGAGAATCAAGAAGAAGATGAGTTAGATTTTCACGCGCGCTTGATTTGGTTTACTCCTTATGTGCACGTTGACCTCGGACCAGGGTTTATCTTTTTTATGTTCATTATTTTAAAATCATTTTTATCTTTATTGTATTGTGTCATTAGCATGTAAATTATTTGTTTTTTTTTCTTTCTGTATTTTTCTTTAATACAATCTCATATAAATATACGCTATACAATATTTCTTCACTGTAAAAAGTTGGTAGTCTGTTATTATAGTGATTAATAATCACAAAATCTACGTTAGGTTACCAGTAACTAGGAGTGTTCACAAGAGTTTGGTCCCAAAGCAAGCCCGATACCTCGGATACTTTGAGCCTCAGGCAATAGGATTCTTGACCATCCGTATGGCCAATAGGAATACGTGTATTTGGCAATATCGGAGGTTGCGGCAAGATTGCCACTGTGGCTGCCGAACGGCTCATGTCTGATTAACGTGCTATCATTGTGTTTATCTTTATATAATTCCTCGGCGGTCGGTTCATAGACGCCTCATGGCCACTTGTCGTGTTGTCTATTTTGTTCTTGGTTTAAAAAGTTTCCTTTTCTTCTCCTTTTGTTCTTTGTTTTTTCTCCATAAAACTTTTTTATTATTCTTTGCGAATAACCTCTACCCTCATATACACCGATTTTTTCTTTGCTATCCTAATCACAAATGCCTTACGCTCCTGGTACGTAACCATATTGGTCAAACACACTCTTAAAGGTTACTAAAGCTGTCGTCTATTGTCTTCAAAAACTTCTACCCCCTGAGATTAATAAAGTATGGGCCAGGGTCTGAATATTATATGACAGTCAGCTTTTGCTTTTCTTTTCCAAACTCATAACTAACGTCTCCGTTTAATTTTTTTTTTGGTTCAATTCAGGTTCTGCTAAAAAGGGTGCTACCCTCTTTAAAACTCGATGTCTTCAATGTCATACTACTGAAGAAGGCGGTCCCAATAAGGTCGGTCCTAATCTTCACGGTATGATTGGCCGTAAGTCAGGTTTGGCCGAAGGATTCTCTTATACAGACGCCAACAAGAAGAAGGGTGTTCTTTGGACTGAAGAAAACCTCTTTGATTATCTTGAAAACCCCAAAAAGTATATTCCCGGTACCAAAATGGCCTTTGGTGGTTTGAAAAAGGAAAAGGATAGAAACGATCTCATCACTTTCCTTAAGGAAGCTTGTTAAAATTATAATGTTTAATACAAGTTGTTTTCAGTCCCTTTTCCTAATTCCTTTGTAGATCTTACCGGTTCTCTTTACTCAATAGTTATAAGCCTCGCTGATGGTTATATTTATTTATTAGTACCCTTTTTTTGTGTCTCCCCGCACTTTTTTCTCTGTTTTGGGTCTATTTTATCTCTGTATATAAATTTGTAAATTTCTTGAAGCCATTGATTTTGCTAGATAAACATAACTGAAATTCTGAATTAAATTAATATACAAAATAAAACTAAATAAGCCACTAGCTTTCGTGTATCTTGATTTAACTACAGTAAAGCTACATATACTTGTTTAGCATGCGTCTAGTTATTGTATATAGAATAATTTTAGATCTCTCCTATTATTTGTAATAGTACATTATTAATTTCCAGTTAATAATTACTGATATGAGCGTGAAGAAGTGTTTGTTTTATTGAATTCAGATCAATTTGATTTTTTTAATTGTAGTTAAAATTTGCATTTCTGGTATTTTGATTAACAGTCTTCGTACTAAATCCATGTCTTATTCTTTAAAAATCCCATAAAACATCCTACAAAAAAAAAAACAACTAGTTTCCATAAGAAATTCATTTAACCCCATCTTGAATAAAAAACACACAGGCAACTAGTCTTACACTGATTAAAATAAAAATTTACCAAATAAATACAAAAAGTGGGAAGGCATGCTTTGAATTAGGGCTACCCGGCTTTGGTAGATGCTACTCTGTTCAAGTTTCAGGGTAAATACCAAATGAACCTTCAACGTAGAGGGGTATTTACTACAGTAGAGTATTGAAACACGTAAACAAAAACAAAAGCATTGTTTAATAACGACATGTTATTCATTGAAAAACTTCTTCTGTTTTAATTCTAGAAACAAAAAGAAAAAAATTCACCCACGCAGGGGCTCGAACCCTGGACATTTCGATAACCTCGTATGAGCCATATTTCATAAAAGTCGAACGCTCTACCAACTGAGCTACGCAGGTAATACCGACCTCGGAGAGGGTTGAACTCTCGATCTTGCGATTAACAGTCGCACGCCTTAACCAACTTGGCCACGAAGTCATTATTATTGGAAAGAAGGATTGTATATGAACTTTAAAGGGAATATGTTGTGTATTTTTTTGTATTTCACGAAAACGTTTGCTAAAATATTCCGGAAAATACTTTGAAAAAACTTTTATGAATCAATAAATATGGATTCTAGTGGCAATATCTAATTGACTTGTCTGAGTGATTAGAAAGTTTGGGAGGGCAGGAGAGCTCAGACACGGGCGCCCTGAACGTGTTATGAACCTATCCGCCTCAATGGTGTCTGTTAGAAGGATGCAGCACGGGGTATAACAATGGACTTGAATTAAAAGCTCTAAAAGTCTTGGCACGCATCTTTAATTTATTTTTGGGTTTGATTGTTTTTGTTTTCGCTCGTTTTTCCTCTTGTTCTCTGCTTAAAGAAATGAAGATCCCACCTGGTTGACCATAAACCCGCATCGACGGCGAACGCCTCGGGGAAAATAAAAATAGCCTGATGTGGGGTATTCCTTGAGCCTTTAGTAATGCATCATATGCTTGCTTTTTTGCCGAACTCAGATCGCCAGAAAGCATTTATTTCCTCCTTATAATCTACTTTACCCCTTTTTTATTTTTTATATATTTAAATATATCACCAACTTTTTAAAATAATCTACCACGGTTTGATATCCCTAACCGAACGCTCTCTGACTTTAGCTGGGCATACTCTCACTAGAACTACCACCTTCCTCCTCAACGGAGATTGCATCACGTCAGCTGATTGGTTTGTTCCCGTCATCCGAGGTGCTCTCCAAAATATTGAGACTCGACTATTTGGCACAACTACTCCGCCCTAGTCTAAACCGCTTTGGCAATAATTTTCGTCAGCTTCTACATTTGTGATGCATAGCGATAAAAGCGCGCTTTCATCCGAATCCGGAAATTTCCCCCGGCCTAAACGGTCCTTTTCGCTCGGCCATCATCTTCACATCAATGGACGTTCCCAGGAAAAGAAAGAAAAGGAAAGGGAACCTGAAAAGGAAACCGAAATTAGTAGTGAAGAATCAAGCTCCGGTTTAAAATCTAGTCAAAGCCATCTTAAACTTTCTAGCCATTTTAACCGACTCCGTCGTAGAGATACAATCCCACCAAATAGCCCTCAACAACATTCAAAACTAAATCCAATTGATCACATTATACCAAGCAAGGTAGCGTCCCCGGCACCAGTACCAATTTCGCCTCAAACACCGGCTCATGATTTACCCAATATTAAAAGGGCTTCAACAATACATGCTAAACCCCTGAATCATGAATTACGATCTGAAGAGAGCCCGGCGTCATTGTCCCATAATGCTACCACATCAGCTTCAGTTGCTGATTTCAAAAGATTATGGAAACATAAATTCACTCGGTCAACCATCGATACACCGAAAAGTGGGGCTTCAAGTCCATTGCATGGTTTCCCCAATGGTGAAGCAAATATTAACAGAATTACAAATTCTGGCAATGGTATAGACGATACATTAAAAAGACAGTCTTCCGCCCCTAATTTAAAAAACTTGTCTGCTATTTACGATACATTCTACAATACGGATAAACACTGTAAGGCGCCCAAAACCACTTTGGCATCGACATTTACACCGGAGGAATTTTCGTCATCGCTTAGTCGGGTTAAGCCGGTTAAGAGTATTAAGGCTTATGGTAAATTAGGTAAAATTATTGGTACTGGTGTAGGTGGTAATGTTCGTTTAATCAACCGTAATAAGGACAAGCGAGTTTTCGCCGTCAAGGAATTCAAGTCCAAGATGAATTATGAAAGCTATCGTGAGTACTCTAAAAATATTTTGAAAGAATACTGTATTGGTCTTATTTTAAAACATCCCAATGTAATTGAAACCATCGATATTATTTTCGAAAAGGGTACAGGTAAGGAGGTTTTTTACGACTTGATTGATGATGACAATAATAGTGATAATGAAGAGTCTGAATTAGAAAGTGAACAAGAGGAGCGCAAGAATATTCATACTTCGTTGCATTTTCCTCACGTATCCTCATCTTCATCACGTAAAATTTACCAAATTATGGAATATTGTCAATATGATTTATTTTCCATTTTAATGTTTGGTGGAAAATCATTAACAAAACGGGAACTTTTCTGTGATTTCAAGCAAATACTAAATGGTGTCAAATATTTACACGAATCCGGTATTGCACATCGCGATTTAAAGATTGAAAATTTAGTTGTGAATTCCCAGGGTATAGTCAAGATAATTGATTTTGGTAGCATTTCAATTTTTAAAAGACCCGAGGATAATGACCACAATAGCCTTAGCAAAGAAGCCCAAGCCCGGCATAAAGTCCTTCAAGAGTTGGTATCAAGCAAATCTGATAGTGGCTGTTCTACACCAGATTATGAAACATCAGGAATGCTTGATACTAATCAACCGGAAATCGCGACTGTCTCCATGGCTAAACCTTTGAAAAAATTCCAGAATCGCATTATTCTGTCATCAGGTATTGTAGGTTCCCAACCTTATTTATCACCGGAACTTTTTGCTTGGCCAACTCGACGCGTTACTCCACATGGTGGTTTGCCTAAATCTTCCTCAATGCCAACGGCTGGTATTAATGATACCACAGCCGAAACTGGTATGTGTACTAATAATGGCACAGTCTGTGGTCATTATACACGTGATAGTTATGATTCAAGTAAATTAGATATTTGGTCACTAGGGATCATTTTTATCGTATTAAGCTTCAAGAAATACTTTTGGAAGTTACCTGATGATCGAGATGAAAGTTTCCGGGCCTTTAAATCGTTCTTAACCGACCGACATATTCAAAAGCTCAAAAATGAACATTTGGAACAATTACACGAGGAGTCGTCGCTAGAAGAACAGGAAAGTGACAACCTGGAGCAAGATCAAAAAGGACTTGATTTGAGTAGTGTGAAATCAATGTTGCCAATAGTTCCTGTATCTATTAACGAAGCGAAAACAATAGGTGTTAAGGGTAAATTACCGTCTATGTTATCGGATGAGGGTAACAGAACCCCTACTAGTTTCTCTGAAACATCCAAATCACCTATATTATTTGACAGCGAGCCAGCTCAATCGTCTACAAAAGCCAGCACGTCAATGTTATTATACGAAGCAAAAGTCAAACCAAGCTCTTCGTCTATGCTATCATCGATGATTCTTGAAACTACGCCTCAATCCAGTTCATCAATGATTTTAGAGCCCAACACAGGCTCTGATTCTGTTACCCCAATACGTCCGTCTCATTCAATGCTGTTAAATACTGATATTTCTAAATCGCACACGATCCATAATGCTGGGGATTCCAGTCTTAAATCGGGCTTATCTAATGGCCCTAACAATCAACGTAATGAGGGAAACATAGGTACTGATGAGGATTCGGAAGATCTAACCTCGCCGGCTGTTTCAATCAAATCTCAACAGCAAATCCCCTCACCCATTTCTACACCATCTCTCGCTTCACAAAAAAATCATCATCACAATGGGCTTCGATTTTTGCCATCTTCAGCATCTGCATCATCAACACCAACGTCTACCGTGCCAGCTATGGCCAGTAACTACCTGTATTTAATTAAGGGTTTACCCGAGCCCCAAATAGCGCTTTTGGAACAGATGTTATCGCTGAACCCCGATGATCGGCCCACAATTCATGAAGTTTGGAACAACTCCTGGATTCAATCTATTGAGTGTTGTACGTTATCCAAGGATGATGGTGGAGCTATAACCGGTAAAGGCCATAAGCATACATTTGTAGAAGAAGATAAGGCACATTATGACCTTTATCGTGCGTCGAAAAATAAATCCTTTAGTAGTGATAGGGAGAATTTGAAAAAAGAGATCGAAAACCTTAGGTAGATTAGTGACTATAATTCAAGTGAATTTCAAACAATAACAAAATCAAAACATTGTAAAAAACTCTCTTATGTTCGAAAAATGGTTTGAGGTTCGATACGAATACCGAAATATATACAAATTACGTATATGTCAGTTGCACAAAATGAACTCGTTCTGTTATTCTAATCAACTATATTCTAATCATATATTCTGTACGTTACTATTTTCTTTCATTTTCTCATTTTTTAAAACACCAATTTTATGTAGCCTCCTCAAAAAGACTTTCCGGCTCACTACCTTACTACGTTTGTAAACTGCTTTTCACTCAAGTGTACCATTATTATTGAAAGGAAATAAGCAATGAAAATAGAGTAAACTTAGAACAAGTAAAAAAATATCAAGTTGAATTATTACACTATAGGTACAATACTATTATAGAAAAATGGAGGTTGTGTAGAAGAGGACGTTTTGTAACAGAGAAAAGAAAAACGAGGGGGGGATTGTCGTTAAAACAACAGAGAAATCAAACCAAACAATGAGAGAAGAGAAGACGTCTAACTGTTAAAGGAGGATAAATATATATAAAGAGGAATTATTATCATTAAGGAAATCATTACCGGAATTGTAGAATGAAAAAAGAAAGGAATGAAAAAATTAGGTGCCATGTTTACAAAAAACAGACATCAGAAAGAGAAGCGAAGATAGGTAATAAGAAAAAGAAAATCAATTAATAATAAGAAAAACTAAAAGCGATCAGTTTATCTCAAAAATTAAAAGAGTTGAGCGGCAAGGGCAACAACAGCACCAAAGACAACAGCACCTTCGACACCGTAGTTAGAAGCAGAGTTTTTAGCAGCGGAGGAGGCAGCAGCCCCGGTATTGGAAGAAGTGGCAGCAGCAGTTTCATCAGAAGTTGAGGTCTTAGAGGTAGAAGAAGCCTTGGAAGTGACAGAGATGAGAACAGAAGTCTGGGAGGCAGGAGCAGAACAGACGTACTTATCACCTTGAATATCACCATCCTTGTGAGCCTTGTTCCAAGAAGAACAGTTGAATTGGGTAGATTCAGATTCAACATCAACACCGCCCTTGACTAAGTTAAGAGAAGGTAAATCAGCTTCGGTGAAATTACCATCAAATTCAATAGCGCCACCGACAGACTTGAGCTTGTTGAAACCGTTAATC